TTTAGGATTTAGGGTTTAGTAGGGTTTAGGGCTTAGGATTTAGGGTTTATGGTTTAGGGCTTAGGGTTCAGGAGCATGACCTGCCGCCTCTTAGAGAGGCTGCAGCAGTCCCTTGCTGGATGCCTCCTGGCCCTGGCAGCAGATGATCCTGAGCCTTAGTGATAATTGGTGGGGAATTTAGGGTTAAGGGGTTTAGGGTTTAGGGGTTTAGGGTTTAGGACTTGGGCACTCGCAAAATTGGGGGGACCATTTTAGGGGTCCCAATAATAAGGACTATATTATTTTGGGGTCTATATTGGGGTCCCCTTTATTTTGGGAAACACCTGTTAGTGGGAAGTTTGGGTTAGGGTTGAGTTGTTGTTAGTAGGGATTTAAGGAATGGATTACAAACCGAAAGCAGTAGTTCCCATTTCATGTCTAAACCCCAAACCCTAAACCGAACCCTGGCAAGGAGCTGAACCCTAATCCCTAAACCCTGATTCCTACATAACCCTGTATAACCCCATTATAGCAGTTTCCACTTTCTTTTCCATTATCCCAATATAACCCCTATGTAACCAAGGAGCTGGAGCAGTACCGTGCCAAAGCGGGGCCATGGGCAGAACGACTTCTCCTTGGCGTGCGCGGGGCCGAGCGGCAAGTGGCCTTCGTCGATCAGATCATGCCAAAGGGTCGCTTGGGCTTCAATGCGGCTTAGGGTTTGGGGTGTAGGGGTTGGAGGGTTTAGGGTTTAGGGTTAAATGAATCGGGATGGCAAGAGGATCGCGGGGGTCCTCACTGGGCAAATTTGTACAGGTGCCTGCTGGGATCAATAGAGGTTCTGGTGCACCTTCTGGGATGCGCTTTTGAAAGTGGACTTCTAGAAGCCCAAACCCCAAACCTTAGGTACTCAGGTGATGATCCTGGATGACAACATTTTGAAGCTCATGTATCGTGGCAAAACCCTTGAAACTCACCTTGACGAGTTGCTGGGCGCAGGCTTCGAGGAAATGCACGCAGCTGGTGCACGCGCTTGGTCGGTGGCGGCCTAAGAGTACACAAGCCTTTCAGTCTCGATGCCAAGACGGCGAGCTCCCCCAAACGGTAGTTTCCCAAAATAGGGGGACCCCAATATAGACCCAAATATACTATAGTCCTTATTATGGGGACCCCCAAAAAGGTACCCCTAATTTTGGGAAACCCCCAAATAGCTAGCCTGTAAGAAGGTGGGCAGTATGACAGTGCAGAATTAGCAGCAGCTTCCTTTCCAAACAGTCAGGTCAGCGACTCGCCAAACCCTGCGCACTGGAGCGACGATGTGGACGTGGGCCTCGGGCTAGTGCAGACGCCTCACTTGCTTACCGGGTGTTGTTAGCGATCTGAGATGAACATGGAAGAGGGATTATATAGGGCATATGATAGAGATCCATGCCCGAATTACCTTCCCATAGCCATGAAGCTTGAAGTGCTTGCCTGTTGTTTTGCCCGGTCCAAGTGCTGGCATTTGGAGTACCCTAAACCCTAAACCCTGGACCCTGAACCCTAAACCCTAAACCCGCAAAGCGTAACAGGTATGGAGCAGCCTTCGGAATTTTGGCGACCCATGAGCAGTCGCGCTACTCAAAGTTCGGCCAAGTCATGGACGACGTGGAGAGGTCCTGCAGATTCTACGAGCACGATGGGGTGACGGTGCGCTTGGGCAGACTTCAGGTCTACAAGAGGCCTTGACAGGGGACATAGGGGATATCACATACAGACAAAGGGTTTGGGGATATCTTACGGTGGGATGTTTTTTGGGGGGATGTGTCCCGGGTCTTAGGATGTTTTGGGCTGATCACTACGTGAATCAAGGCTGCAAACTTGAGTGCTTTTTTTTTTGTTTGCCATGGTTCGAGGTAACGCCGGAACTAGTGACTAGTGCTACAACCACATGCTAGAATTACCATTGTTTGGAGGGTCAGGGGGACTTAGGACGTAGGCTAGTAACCGTTATAGCACAGATAGTATCCCTAGTTATCCCCATTATTACTCTACTGACTAAGTCCCCTGACCGTCCAAATGCTCTTATTGCTCCCGGTGTCAGCGAGCAGGCATGCTCCCGGCATCTACAACGCTCAGAAGGGTGGTATTTCCGCCAGCCTTTCAGAAGACGCGTTTGCAGCTGAATCAGCGCATGCGAGGACCGCCTTGCTCCAACGCTTCCCTCACCTGCTACTTGGATGCGAACAAGGAACTTATTTGGTGGGTCAGGGGGAATTCGTAAGTAGGTTAATAAGGGGGATAACTAGGGTTACTATGTGGGTCATAGGGGTTATTAACCTACTTACTGAGTCCCCCTGACCCTCCAAGTAGAGAAAGTTACTAAAGCAGGCTCCCTGAAAAGGCGCTCTGAAGGCTAGGTGGGGTGATATAGGCCTTACATGGCATCTAGGGTCAAACCCTCAATCCCAAGTTCCTTGACAGCAAGCGAGGGAGGCTGATTGGAAGCTATTTCCACTATGTTTGGCCTCGTATTAATTGAAATTTCCATGTTCTTTTTGAATTCCCCATATAAATCCCGTGCAGCCCCCATATATTTTGCTGGGCTTCTTCTTGGGCTTTCAATCTTCTATGTCGTCTCTCAGTGGATTCCCAACCCAACCCAGCCTGCCTCTATCATGTGGGCTTTAGGGTGTACCCCCCCCCCACACAGTACATGGGCCCACAGACTAAGGCCTTTGAAGGAATGACTAGGCCTTATTCGTTTGTTGGGGGGCCCCTGGCTCGCCTATGACATAATCACCCAAAAGCCCTAAACCCTAGGTTCAAAACCTTAAACCCTAGACCCTAAACCCCAAACCCAAAACAACCCCAAACCTTAAACCCTCAACCCCAAACCCTCAACCCCAAACCTTAAGCCCTAAGCCCCAAACCCTAAATCCTAAGCCTCTGAGCCAACCAAGTATTGGCTTCAAGGGTGATTCTACGTCCAGTGATAGTAGCAATGTCCCAGCGCCGCGACTGGAACTGGATGGACAGTAAGGCTGATGTGGGCCTCCTCGCCTCCCAAGAAAAAGCGCTAGGCAGATGTCGCCACGTGCTCATCTACCAAGGCTTCTCATGCAGAGCCTTCGTTTGAGAAAATCGACGAATTCAGTGAGGTACAGCGTACCTCTTGTGCCCACGCGGCTGTATTGATGTTGATTGCAAAAGTTGATGCGTTCCTGAATGCCTGGCACAAGGAGTTCGGCAGCCGCGCGTACCGGCACTGCCTCAATGCTCTTCCAATGTCAGGACAACTGGTGTGCCTCGCTATGGACAGGACGAAGAAAACAACGCAGTGCTTCGTGGAGGGCGAGGCCTTTCTCTCCGAAGCATGAGCGAGACCTCTGTTTGTGCTGTGGTGCGTGGCTGCCCTGTCGGGGTCTGGAAGTTCCACAGCCCGCCCATCTTCCACCCTGTCCAAAGGTGCGGACACCTTGGCAGCACCGGTTCCTACCAGAAGCTTTCCAGGAACTGTGTGGATGCCAGCGCTGCTGGCCAACATTTCCGTTCAAGAAGGTCGTGGTAGTGCATCCGCATCAATTCCACAAGGTTTGGGTGGACCTGCTGGAAGTGGCAGTCCATGAGCGCAACGCCAAAGGACAGCAGGCTCCGCAGATGACCGGCCAGATGAGCGCAGAGCCCCGAAGCATTCCACGCCATCGTCTCCATGTGGCGGGACGGCAAGGGTTGCCATTGCGCTGGAGTTCAGTGGTGTCCATGTGAGGCTGTGGAAGTCCTTCACCCATTGCAGGTGGAGGACGCCTTCACGGTGGAGCATGCCGGTCAGGTGACGGTGCAGGCGGCAGTTCTGCCTTTGATCCACCAGATCGCTCTCTCAATGAGCTCGGCAATACTTATATTTCAACAAGGGACCCAGCTTGCTACTCAATCGAGAGCCGAAACTGTATCCATGGGGCCGAGCAAATCATTGTTGAGTTCTCGGGCGGTAGCTTGGACATGCCCTTGCGAGCTGCATGACTTGTCTTCGAGCTGGAAGAGTTGCCGGGCGTCGTGCGAACCAGTGCAACGGTGGTTGAACTTGATGCGAGCGAGGGTGACGCGAATGTTGATGGCGATGGAGATGACGAACGTGCGCATGATCATCCACAGCAAGATGGGCGTGACCAACAGGACGACACCAGCTCGCTGCAAACGTGGATGCAGCTGCTGCAAACAGAGTTGGAAGGCTTGCGCTAGGAAGGGATCTCCATCGGGGGTCATGCGGCTCAGCTTCAGCAATACATGCAAGGCATGATGGACAAGTGCCTGGACGGAGAAACCATGGCTTCGCTCCAGGCCCGGATGATTGCCTTCGCGGATGAGCGTATTACCGAACAAGACCCTACTCGCGCGGACAACTTCGTAGAGAAATGGCACCGCAGATTGAAGACTCTCTTGCAGCAAGCCCGCGTGGTCCAAGTGGAGTCGCAAGAAAATGAGGATGGCAGTGGAACAGCATGTGGAAGAGATGGACAGGACGTGAGTGACTGTCCACAGTGGGAACGCAACGTCGTCAAGGAAATGACGGTGGACCTCAAGGTGCAACGACTTCGACGTGAAGCAAGGAGGGCTCAGCAGGAAGACGACGCCGTGATGAGGGCAGCCTTGACTCCGGCAACTCCAGCCAAGCGAGTGAGAGAGCCTAGCATGGAGCACCGTGAGCTTGAACGTGACCGTGTGAGGGTTGACCTTGCTGGAATCGTGGATGCGGGTGCGGGGGGTTGGCAGCATGCATGATGTCGCGATGCCGAGTGCCTCAAGTTCAAGTGTGCCGCTGGTGTAGGGTCAAGTACACTGAGTGAGCGTGGGGTTTGATGAAACAATAGTGGGTCCTGAAGGGGAAATCCCTCTCAGGATGCGGCTCAGGGTTGCTTAGGCTAAAGGCAGAGACCAAGCCACGCAAACGCAGTGAGCCCTTGTGTCATCCGAGTAGGCAAGTCAACAAAGACCCTGTGCCAATCAGGCAGACGTAACAGTCGGAAGGGCTGTAAAAAAATCCGAAGCCTATGATTTGAGGCTTGAGCCCGCCACTACCAAGCTGGGCTTGCGATTTCGGCACAACCGGAACAGAGCTCCCTCCTTCATCCTCTAGGCAGGGATTTTTGAGGGTTTAAGGTTTAAGGATCAGGGATAGGAGCATATGTGGATATAAAGGGGCTACATATGGGTCATGTAGGGTTTGTGTAAGGGGGAATGGAAAAGACAATGGAAATTATTGCTTAGGGTTTAGGGTTTAGGGTTTAGGGAGAATCAGATAGATAGAACATTGAAAAGGACATGGTAATTGGGATTATCTAGGGGTTCATGGGGTTAATTACGTAGGGTTTAAGGTTTAGCTTTCAGTGTGCAAATGGACTTAACATGATAATGATGCTTTTGGAGACTTTTTCCTAGGGACACCCCAACCCCTTCGTAAGTCCCAGATATCCCAACATGAGGTACTGTCAGTATTGGGCTTTCTAAGGGACCCTTAACAGTGGACATAGGGCTCCCTCTTGTAGTTCAGTATAAACCTTACCATAGTCCCTAATAACGAACCCATGTCCATGAATTATCTGGGACATATTCACTGCAGCTCATGTTTTCCTTCATGTGTTCCCCCCAAACCTTGAAACCCCAACCCTAGCCCGAAACCCTAAAACCCTAAAGTCCTAGCCCTAAACCCTAAAGCCCAAACAAAACATCTAAACCCAATATTCCACTGATCAACAGGCTGCGGGTCGCACAGCTGCGTGCATTCTCGGGGCATGCTGTGCAGCCAGTGAGAAAGAGCAGTGCGTGCTGCTAGAGATGGGTTCAGGGTTTATGTAGGGTTTTAGGATGTAGGGTTTTGAAGTTTTAGGGTTTAGGGTTCTAGGTTTTAGCATTTGGGGTTCAGGGGGTTTCTGCAGCCCTTGGGTAGTGAGATGAATTGCACCAGGGCTTCGTACTGTACGTACCTAGCATACCCCCGAATATAGTATAGTCTTCAATACGAGAACGTTAAAATCAGGGCCATAGTTCGGGGAAACACCAGATTCAGACCCTAAACGCTAAACCCCTTGTTGCTGGTGCTTGGTAGGGAATGAAGGAATGGATGCTTTTGGCAACACTTTCCGCCAGAATGGGCCCAACAGCCGATTCCTTCATGCTCTGTTGATCTAAAATTCTAATCCCATAGAGGTTTGGGGTTTAGGGTTGAGGATTTTGGATTTAGGGCTAAGCTGCACCGATAAGGACTCAATTAGCCAGGTCTCTTGGGAGGCCTCTGCTAAGATGGTCGTAAAAGCTTGCAAGTCTTTGGCAGCGGCTTTGTGTACCAAGCTTCAGCGGTTGCGGTGCGGCAAGTTTAACCGGCGTACGAAGGTCCCTATCTTCAACAGTATTTTCTTTATGTTCTTGCAACGCAAATGCGTCATCGCAAATCTAGAGATGCTTGAGTCGCAGATGCAGGGGGGGTTTAGGCATCGTAGTGTTTCTGCATGTGTAGTATGGGATTGGCAAGACGGCCGCGGCCAGTACCCCTCTTTGATACTTAGCGTCGCAGCAGTATCAGCCACCAGCCCAAGTCCTCAACACAGCGTTAACTGACTACCAGCCGCGGAGTCTTTTCAGCTTATGAAGGCCGAGTCGCCTTTGCGGGGTGCTAAGGTGATCCTCAACGATAGTTGCTGAAGATTCCTTCTGCTGACGTGATTCCTTCCATGCTCTGACACCTTGATGAAATAGTAATGCTAGTAGTAATAATTACAACAGTAGTAATAATAATTGTGATAATAATAGTAATAATAGTAGAAGTACTAGCAAACACCCAAGAGGATGGCAGGAGGGGTTTCTTAAGCCTTAAAGCAGCAAATGATCTGTTCTATTTAATTCATGTCCGAAGCCTGTGCAGAATATAGTTGTGCATGGCAGGCGTAGCTGAACTCCCCAAACCTTTAAGTCTGCCTGCAGGAGTGACATGGGAAAACCTGAGCCCTGTACTATGCAACCCTGAACCCTCAAACCCTCAAGCCCTAAATCCCTAGACCCTACACCGTAAACTTCTCAATCCTAAGCCCCGACAACCTGTGAAGTGTTGCGGTACTTGTAGGGTCAGGGGGACTTGTTAAATACATTTAGAACCCCTATAAGCCATATAGTAACCCCAGTCATCCCCACTGTTAACCTATTTAATAAGTCCCCCTGACCCTAAACCCTAGCCCTAGATAATCATAATTCCGCGTAACCCTCCAAGTACCACCTCTGGATGGCCAGGCAGATTCTGAGCGCCGCCGCTTGGAGGAAATGGTGAAGGCCAGGCTCCTAGGGCGCATTCTCTCTGTCTCTCTATATTTAGTGTATATATATATATAGGATATACATATACATACACTAAGAGTATATAGACACACACACACATATATATATATGTATATATATATACATGTATAGACAGAGTATATATAAGTATCCCTCTTGCAATTACCTCTATGAAGCCCATAGACGCTAAAATCCATAGGAGAAAGCAACAGTTAGCCGCCTGGTTTGATAGAGAAGCAAGGTTGGCCCCTTGTTTACAGAGATGGTTTAGGGTTTAGGGGTTTAGGGTTTAAGGGTTTAGGGGTTTAGGGTTTAGGGTGTAAGGGTTTAGGGCTTAAGGGT